CGATTGTTCCTCGAAAGATCGTCAATCGCTCGGCGATCCGTTCTTCGAATTCTGAAAGACAATAGACTAGATCTAGTGCTCAGGCTACCAGCCGCTAGCACGCTCGTGAGATCCAAAATGAGGAGAGATTCGGGCTTGACGCCATACTGCGAAGCGAGTCTTTCAGCGGCGGCTGCGAGTTCCGTTGGATTTATCGTCGAGAATCGCTTCGGCTGGAGACGCGTCTTAGCGTCTTCGAGTCGAGCAAGTTTCCGTTGGGCCTGTTCCACTCCCCGTTGCGCATTCCCGAGTTTTTCCTTCGCTTTGCGTCCAGCGTCCGATATGGCAGAGATACAGCCGAAAGAATATAGCAAAGCAGCCACCTGGATCACTACATCCAAGTTCATTATTGCGGGGGCTTGCGAGGCAGAGGCGGAAGTCCTCCGTGAACCTACTCACTCTATACCTGCACGTTTCCTGACGACGATCCTAATGGGTGTGAGACGTTTGGTGCCGATCCGTGCTAGGGTAGTGAGAAGAGATCGAGTACGATATCTTATCTTCCTTTGAATATATTCTGCCTCTCCGGGAACATTAGACGAGTCGTCTGCCGGAGCCAGTCTGCTTGTGAAATATTTGCGAGCTGTCCGCGACTGGATGTGCAAGGTCCCTCATTCCAGGCTGGCAGGGGTGAGAATACATTGCAAGCTGAAATACGCTCTCTTAGAAAGACTCCTGAGTTTCTCTTTATTGACGAGTTTATTTGCTGGAAAAAAAACTGAAGGCAATGTGAGAGACAGAATCGTACTTGGCGCGGATGGTGAACATCTCCACAGTTAAGCTTCTGGAGCTTGCTCGCAGCTAGCCCTCGCCGCTCTTCGCAGGGGGACACTCCAGGAGAAAGAGGGGCAAGAAGATGGAGAATCGAAAATGAAAAATGAGAAAGTATTCATCCATTCATGAGTGTTTATTCATCCAAGACGGATGAAATATTCGTTTAGGACGGACCGCATATCTTCCGTCTGGCTCAGCTTCACGGCACGAGTCCCTGTGTCTCGCAATAGTTGACAATCTATCAAAGTATTTACAGGATATTGCATGGTATCGTGGGCGCGAGTTTCCGCATCTTTTCCTTATACAATGGTCGGTCGAGCCCTGAAGAGCCTCCCCAGTACGAATCGCCGAACGGAATGAATCCAAGAGCAGAAAATCTAGCGACGACGCGGCGGTTCTCCCTGTTGGTTCCCTTCCATTCGCTTGTGGTCATTGCAATGGTTGTGAGGAACTCGACATCGATACGAGACTTCTACAGCTCGCAATCGAGTCGCGTGAACATGCTACCAGAGCAAGCAGCGTCTTATCGGTTCGACCCTAATTGGAATATTTTCTACATTTTCTCACCTTGCGACTCATGGATCGCTTTCATTTCCGATTGCATCCACGAATAGAGAGGGAGGGGCCATCAGAGGTGGAGCGGCACCGGATTATCGCCAACATGAATCCACATGAGCAGATCCAGTAGCACACTCCAGAGGCTCGGAGATTTTTCTTGATGGTGACCTCCGCGTCGCTTTGTCTCTTGAGGTCGAAGTGTCCTCACAAATCCGGAGCGTATCTGTTCATGGCGGCTTTTATTCGCCTCTCCAGTTTGACAGTCGGCAATCGAATATTTAAGACCACTGACTTTTTGCCAAGAGAACCGCTGACTCCGCATGATCAGCATGAATATGATCGGATGACCGAAGATGTTCCTCCTGACTACCGAACCGATCGCCAACGCATTCATATCGCCTCGCATTCGGGGGCTGCCGTGGTTGAATGAATGTTTTCGGACTCCGCACCAGAGGTTGACGTGAAAGACACGGGATTCTCATTTCCTCCCAGCGTTGATGTTCTTCTGAGAGCGGTTCTCACTTCTGTTTTCTCGCATAGATACACCCACGACAAGGTTCCGCTATCCCTCGAGGGGATCGATTGACAGCGTTCACTTGAGCCGCAGTCTCATGTTGATCATGAGACCCGGAAAATTATCTGTCGCAGGCGACCGCGAGCAATTCTTCGAATTTTCACGGCGATGCCCATGTATAGCCCAGATCCCGACTCCGACTGATCCGCCGCGAACTTGCGGACTGGTGAGACTGGATCGAGAGTTGGATCCGTCTGCTTGTCGGAGGTAAGGAGGTGCGGAGTAAGGAGGCAAGAGAGCTAGGACGGATGAGGATCCATCTCATCGTCAGTTGGGTAGTATTGCTACATTGCAGGCTGGAAAACGTCTTCATAGAATTTCGCTTACGACTCAACCGAGTACCACGATACGGACATTTCTCACATTACATTTGGGTGTAGCCACACGACAAGCCGAGATCGGTGTGCCTGCCGAGAGTGGTTTCATGAAGATCACCTCCTGAGCTGCGAAAATCTACACATAGCCGAATGCGACTTGAGATGCTTCAATCGTTGCAATCAGAGACAGGACTTCATGACGGGAATTCTCTTCGAAATCCTTCCCTTGATAATCATGCTGGAGGTAATTCATGCCCCGATGCCCGAAAACTCTATTTTTCGAATCCGGGAGGATGAGCAGAAGAATTCCATGCTCAAACTGCCTCCCTCGAATACGCTTACAACATCCACGGTGAGGAGAGATGTGGGTTCCTGATTCGTCGCTCCCGAATGAGAGATTTCGGATTACATACTCTCGTATTCTTGCGAGGAGGGATGTTCCCGTCTCACGCAAACGGGAAGATTCGAAATTCTGGGTAATCGTCGTATTCGGAGACCCTTTGAAACTTTTCTGAATCGTATCCGGGCTCGGTGCTCGGAAAAAATCCATTCGGGCTGGACTCTCAGCTCATAGGTAAAATCAAGCCTTAGCCGAGGCCTGGCCATGCGAAGAATCTGCGGAAAGTTTCCGGGGGCGACCCTCCGGCGGAAGGTCACGACCATGCCCCGGGCAACAATCCGGCGCGGTTCCTCATTTCCTCAATTCTAAGGGAACACTCTGGAAATCTGTTGTTATTATTATGAAAAAAGATGTTTATTAAAGATACTCAAGGACCTTCGAATCCGGCTCGCGACTCAGTCGAGCCAATCGGATATTCACAGCGAGATATTTTCCGTTTCTTCCCTCCTAATTGTATCCAAATCGTCTGGAACACTCCACCTTGAAATTTCTCTGGCTCGATTGCTCCCATGGTCTCGTTTAACTTAGATGTTGCGGTTTGCTGGTCGCAAACATTGGAGCCGACTGTAGCCTATCTCGTTATGAATCGATTCTTACATGTCTCAAAGTCTTCACACGGTGTCCATCATGTCTCGTGAGTCCCCTCACCCCATTTCCGGGGCGCGAAGATCCCCGAGTCCCATTACGTTCGAGCTACTCTACTATCATTTCACTTCTACGTTGTCCCTCATCTATTCCTATGTACAGTCTAATAAACCATCGGCGGATAGATTATTGTTCGTTCGGTCGACTTCTGCAAAAATATCGAAACCTCAATATTTTCCAAATCGAAGATGCAGCTTCTCGCATCTGGTGTCATCATGGGTCATATCTTCCTCACATCATCAGTTACTTTTATGTGGCTGACTTGACCATTGAAGCAGAGGTTCTCAAACTCGGAGCCTCCGAATATCGGACACCCGATTTTTTTCGTATAAATTTCTCCGAGTAGGACGCAAACAGCTGCGATGCATGGTGATATCGAGCTTGAAAACCTCTGCTTCGAATCAATGTTTTCCGCTGAAGTTCTCCTTTGGTTTGCATAGAATTTCAGGCAGGCAGGCTGTTGAGCGGGCGGGCGGGCGATCAGGTAGGTCTTGCGAGTCATTTCCAGGTAGTTGAGGGGGGCGGTCTGATATTTCTTTTCTTCGCTTGGGATTTTGGCGGTGCTTTTGTATAGAGATTATAAAAATTAATTGGCCTTTTGTCGCGCTGCTCTAATGTAGGTTATTCAGTAAAATACTGCAACCGCCTGCTACGCATACTGCGTGACGGCGGCGCTAATAAAAGGTACGAATGCTCATGTGATAGAAAATAACTCTTTCTCCTCTCCGATATCGTTAGTCGGGAGCGTCGTCGTAAAAAAATACGAGCGACGTCCATTCCGTGGTCAAGTTTGATGAGAGAACCTTGTTCTAATGGGACTTATGGTTAACTTGTGTGTTTGATTTTGGCGATGTTGGGCAGGCGATGATCGATATTGTATACGGGAGTTTTCTTTGCTACAGATGTCGTTGTTTGAGTTTACTTTGCTGTCGTTATCGTTGTTGTTGCTGCTGTTGTTGTTGTCGTCGTCGTCGCCCAGTATTGCGTATTGAGTCGTTTGTCAGGATCGGTCGAAAGTCAAAACAAAAATCAACTTCTCCCTTGACGCACGTGTGAGCAAAAGGCGAAAGCGGCGGCGACGACGACGACGTGGGCTTTGATACAATGGGTTCATCGGAGACATTAAGTTATTTTGGCACATTCAATCCTTAAGGTATGCATGTATGTATATTTGTTCTGTGTCGGACATTCACAAATGTTGCTTGTTTGTCTGTTTCGGTGATCACTCACGCACTCACTCACTCAATCAGTCGGTCGATCAGTCAGTCAGTCAGTCACTTGTTCGTTTGGTCAGGTAGTCTCACAATCCTCTCGTTCTGTCGTCCTTCGTCCGTCTCGTTCCCTCTTCAGGGAAGTCGTCGATCGAAGTTCTGCCGTTTCCCGGCAGGCGGGATTTTCTGCATCTCTTTGTTCCTGTACTGTTCCGTAATTGTTGTCATGTCTTGTGTCTACAGCGTTCCTAAGGATACACTTCATGAAACTAGCGGGGACGCGATCCGCGAACTCGCTCAAATCATCATGTTCTAGCGATCATCGACATGCGCTAGAATTCGTTGCTCCTCGACGACGTCGTCAGCATGAATGAGGCTCATTCACGAAGTCTCTACGGCTTTCCTTACGTCTGCTAGGGTTTTCCTGCGTCCACCGGCTACTACATATATTACATTTGACCTTGAGTAGCAGGCGTCTCCGTCTACATGGACGGACCCGGAGCCGCTGAGTATTCGAGTTGTCTCGATTCGCCCTCCGGATCGACGTGTCCGTGCGCTTTGAGCTTCTCCAGATGATCCCACCAGGGATCAGTACCCGGGAGATTGAGCGATGAAGCCTGCGGACCGGCAGCGTGCATTGGCGGAAGCGCTCCGAAACCCGCACCCATGCTAGGCAAAGGTCCTGACGCAAAATTGTTCGCTGCGTAAAGTCCGCTGCTGCTGCCGCTGCTGCCGGCGCCGTTCATGTCCGGCGCCGGCGGAGCCAGAGTAGCGAACTGGCCGCCTTGATAGAACGACGTTTTCGGTGCGAAACCCATGGCCGCCTGTGGATCGTACGCCGCAGCTTGAGTCGAGTACGTAACGATATTTGGGTACGAGACGACGGGCGCCGTGGAATTTAACAAGAACGTCTGTTGGGCACCGTTTGAAACAACGGGCTGCGGCTGGAATTGGAAAGTCTGTCCGTTCGGAGGCGGCGTCTGGAAAGCGCCAGTCTTGGGACTTCCGAAACTCTGAGCCGACGACGTCGTTGGCGTGTAAAGGCTCTGAGGGGTCTGCCTACCAACGCTTTGATTGCTAGGCGGACGTTCGTTGTCGGACGCTTTCTGTCCCGGAGAGGCGAAGCCCGCCGCCGAATGTGGACTTCCGTTCGCGGAAGTCGACTCCTGGCCCGGATCGGTAACCTCCATTTTGACCGAGGTATTCACAGCATGTTGTCCCTGTTGGCCATTGGAAGTGCCCCACTCGGGCTGGGAGGCGTAAAATTCGGTCGGCGACCCAGCTCCTGTCGGCGTAGTGGGCGCCGGCGAGCGGAAACCGTCTTGCGAATTCTGCTCGGGCTCCTTAAGCGAAGCGCGTTGCTGGATCAGCGATTTCAATCTCGAGTTCATCAGCTGGTGCCGATGTTGATTGAATTCTTCGTTTTGTGGCTGGAAAGAGGGAAGAGCCATTTGCTGAGGCGGAGCCGCGGCCGCGTGGCCGGGCATAACATGCGTTGGGGGATGGCCATACGCAGTCCCGGGGGCATATTGGTTGGGATCGGAGAACAAGGTCTGGCTGCCAGGGGCAAATGTCGTTGTTGGCACGCCGGCGTTATAACCGGCCATCTGAAATTTCGGTTCAAAAAGGTAAGAACCTTGCTCTTACGCTCTTGATTCTTCTATCAAGGGCAACGCGGTGCTTCGATTTCTCTAATCATTCGGTGAGAATTGCGGAATGACATCGGTCGCTCCGTAGATGCTCGCCATCGAGCCGTGAAAATGTGGTATAAGAGAATCACTCACATGGGGCGGTGGCATGGAAGGATCTTGATGAATGTACATCCCATTCGGAGCTGCTCCTATCAAACTGAACTGAGGCTTGATTTCTGGGTTGAGCTGAAGAGACAGAAGAAATTGCGTTAGGAGGATTTCCGGAGAGGAAACAACGAGTTCGGAGAAATATCGAGTCCCCCTCCCCCTTTTGAGAGCTGCGGGAATATACAATGGGATCAGCTGACTCCCATACCTGATGGAGATTTTTGTTCTCATCGGGAGATGCCCGGTGTCTCTTGGCTGGATTTCCATTTTCTTCCGGAGAAGCTGATGTTCCCATAGGTGCGTCCTGCAGGAGAACGAAAGCTCGTTAAAGATCGTCGCGCTCAGAGATATCGACGGAGGGGGGGGGGGGTCCTAGACGAGCCCGATGAGGAACCAGTTCCACCTGGGCCGACTTCAAGGGTCGCGAAGTGAATCATCCTCTGAATTTCCGGAAAGGACTTTCCACCGTTGACGGCGAGGTCAATGCTCATACGACTTGGAGCGTCTCTCTTAAGCGATACCGCCGATGGATAACAAGACCAGGAATTATTGAACATGTCTCAATCAGTCAGTGACATATATTGACACTCGGGCAGCGAACGAACGGACAGGCAACAGATGCCAGTGTCTTGAATGGCGCCAGCGGGGAGCGGTAGAGCACAGAAGAGAATTGCAGCGGGAGGGGCAGGCATGCCGGATCCCATGCCGCAGTCGCATCACGATAGCCGAGCGATTGGGATAATCGCATTGAATTATCGGTGTCATCAACAAAATGAGCTCATGTCGTTATCGTCAGCGACGAAGCGATGTCCCGGCTCGCAGGACAATCGAAACTTTTGGAAAAGTGTCTCAGTCGCAATTGACAGCAGCGGCGACGAGAGCTCTCGCTGCGGCGAATGGAAGGGGAAAGCGAGTCGCGCGAGAACGAACCCAACTCGATTCCCTTTATTCAATTGAATTCGCCGCGTTGGGCCATACAACAACCACCCCACCGAGCAAAGTTTCGCCGAAGTCCCTCCCAAAAACTTCGCCGCCCACTCGCCAGGGCGCGCTGCTTCCGCTCGCTAACTTCTTGTCGATATATCGGGAAACGGTGCTGCGTGGAACACTGAAGCGAATGTTCAGAGCAGACGAGCGAAATCGCCACATTGAAATATATGAATTCCGAAGTGAAGATATTTCGCTCTCCGAACGAGGAACGAAATCTCCCAGGGAAGCACGTGGGCACCGCGAGACCCTCCATTGCCACCACAATGGAGACTTCGGGTCCACTTGAAGTGATCACGACGAACTGCGAGCCTCATTGGGGGCTTGGAAAAGGGGAAGCCCTGAGCTAACGGAGCAGTTGGGACAAGGGGGTGGGAAGGGGGTTCTTCGGGCTTGACGAGGGGCAAACGGGAACTTTTAACGGCAATTTTTTTCCTCGCTCATCTCGTAGATGCGTGACTGTGGGGTTTTTGCGGGTGACTCAAATAAAAATAGACCCGGGAAACGTTGCAGTTCACCCACTCGGGGAAACCACGTCGGCCATCGAGTATGGTAGTTTCCACAGAAGCTCGCCTTTCACGGAGGAATTTCCAAGGGTATATTTGCGCCAATACCTCGGTGACGACCATGAAGTTCTGTTCGGAATCGTAGCGAGTCGTGTCCGATAGCAACTCGCAACGCACCGTCTCAACAAACTTTTCTCTTGAGCTGGAAACGAGAACTCCTCCTAACTCAGCCTGCGAACCGCGAGAGAGCGAGAGGCAGGCCCAATTGTTGACTTGTCGTGCCATGAATCAGTGTTCTACTGAACGCTGTCTACATTCACAGGAATATCATCTGCGCAAGACGGATCGATTCGGCTAAGGGCAGTGCCCCAAGCGAAATTATTCCAGCGCGTCTTCGGAACATCTTCCTCTCACGAGATTCCGCATCTCTGAGCACCTCGCAACGCCCCTCTCAGCCAACGCGGAAGTCTTTCCGAATTTCGCAATTGGAAGATTCCTGATAAATCTCCAAAATCTAAATACTCACTTGACCGTTTGCTCTCGCGTTTTTCGCGTTACCCTGTAGAGCAGAGGGTAGGAATACATGAGTAAGTGACTTGGCTGGTTATTTTTCAGCGGATAAAACGTTCCAGGCAGAAGTTCGAAATCATCGACAATCTGAGAGCCTTTCTATCGTCTGAACTTACCTTGGCCTTAGTACCGTCAGTTTTCTTCTGGCGGGGCTGAGCCGGGGCCTGGAAGGACGAAAACAATTTTTCAAAATCCCAGTCGATGTTCCGCTACTCGTGCATGCTCTTCGTCGTGTGGGGGAGGAGGAGGATTGTGGCTCTCCGAAACCCAGCGGAGCTTGAACACCACTTGAGTATCCAGTACCAATAATTCTCTTTCGAGTCCCAAGATCGCATTGGCTGAGCTCGTGTCTGTTCGAAGGCCAGCGTTCGCAGACGATTTGTTTAGCAAGTGCAACCAAAGGGTGTCTAGAAGCTCAGAGTGGCATTTAGTCTGCTAGCCTCTCGCATGAGAAGTCGACAGCACGCGACATACCTCAGTTAGTGACATCCTTTCTCCCAACGACACGGGGCGTCGAAGAGGAAAAAAAGAAGAAACCTCTCTGAGAGGGCTTGCTCGGCAATCATTGACCAACCGAAAAGGTTGACACCACTCATTGTCAGCACAACTCGGCCTTGGACGCAACAGTTCACTCTATACTAGACTCAGAACGCACATGTATCACTCAAGAAAGCAGGAGATCGGCTGACACACACGGATGGTAAGCGCGGTGGTCGGACAGACGGGATCGGTCGGGCGAAGATACAACGTTGATACAGTTTGCCCGAAAGCGAGTCATCTCAGCTGCGAGATCGCCCGGATTTCACAGCGCAACGGTACAGCCCGTGATTACGAATTGAATCGATTTCGGTTGGGAGGGATGATGGAGTTCCGAGTCAATTGATTGGTTTTACTCCCGATCGCGACTCTTTGTTTACGCCGTCGAGGACATCCAGTCTATCGAATTATTTTAAACAATGCACCTCGGGCATTTGATGGATGGAGCACGAAGGCAAGCTTTGCATCGGTCTGTCAATCTCTTCGTGTGTGCGCGCCGCTGATGTTCGAATACATGAAATGTGTCTTTGCAATCATCAACGGTTTCATCTGGGCTGTCGACCCGGCACAATGATTTATTGGAGTAATATAAGCGTAGCCGGCTTGGGGATCGCAATTCTCTCGCTGCCTGGCTGGCTGGCGGCCTGCAAGTCAGCAAGCGAGCAAGCCAGCCATCCAGTCAATTCACCACCGAGCGAGCAAGCCAGCCAGCCAGCCAGTTATCCAACTCAGCGGCTCTGTAGATCCTTCTTCTCGCGAAAATATCTCTGGACGCCACTGTAGGAGCAAAAATGTCCCGAACGACTCAAGACAGAAGCACCGAACACGGAATGAATTCCTCGGCTGCGATTCTGACGCGACTCTATGCGACTCCCGCGTTCGATGAGAGACTTTGGGAATCTCTCGCTCGCCCCAACCGGAGCCTCGTCCGAATTCGTCGATGGAATTCTATCGAGAAAAATTAGGCTGCTATAATTCGTTCGATGAGGCACGATCTCGAGCTGTATCGGACTGGGCCTTGAAGCCGGGTCGACGCGCTGTCGATACCATGATCCGATCGATTCTGAAACTCTCCGAATCACAGGCCCGCCTGCCAGTCTAGCCGCTCCAATGGGGACGGGGAGAGGGGGAGGGGCGAGAGGGGAAGAGGGGAAGCTCGGATAGTGCACGAGAACAAGCTTGATCATGACGATGGAAGTCTGTATGCACAGCATAAGTTCGCTCCGATATCTTGCTCGCTAAGTGCACACAGAGCATATTTGTAACCCTTTTGTAGCACACGACGGTTTCCGTCGCCCCCCTCTCTGTCCAGACACTCGGTCCGAACGTTTCGCGCCTCTCCCTCGCCGCGATTGCTACATACGCTGCATGGGCACGCATCCCGGCAGGGCAGACGAGCCTGAGGGTATCGGAAAATCAAGAAATAAATAATTGCAGGTAAGCAGCTCCGTCTCAAGTATCAAGATGGGGCCCGATTCCGACTTGTACCGTTAGATTATTATGAGACGCCCCCGCGCGCTGGCGGCCATCAAAGCAGACATCGATACGAGAGGTCGAGAGGAGAAGAAAGGCATAAAAGAGAGCTCGAACTGTTATTTCGAAATTCGTCGTTTTAATGCCTTGCACATCCGCTCAATTGATCGCGCGCGAGCAGCCTAAGTCAGCGAGCGGACGGCCAAGCGAGCGGCCATCTGCCAAGCAGAAGTCGACATCCGGCAGCTGATTCTTTGACTGCGGAGGTTTCACTTTTCAGAAGCGTCGTTGCAGCGGACTCTCTGCAAGCCTGCTCGCTGGCGGCCTCACTCGCTGCGCTCCCTCCCGATTAGGTTCGACCGGGACGTATGCACATATAGTAGATGAGGCGAGATCGAGCGAGCGGACGGATCGGCCCGAGAGCTTCAGACTGGATCCCAACTCGGACGAAACGCGACACCGACTCGTAAGTGCAATCACGAGTTCCGTTCGAAGGCTCTCGCAAGACCGCCGTCATCAGCATTATTGACACTGGCGATGCGTTATTTTTTGCTAGCGCCAACAATAAAACTCCGCGGATTTAGATTGGTTTTAACTTTTGTTAGACGACGACGAGCCAGATCCCCGGGAGTCCCAACTCATACGAATCCTCTAGGAATCGGATTTCATTGACGATGGCCCTACCGACCTCGTCACATGCCGTTCATAGTTTACTCTTCCTCGCGGGATTTCCTCTCGTTTCCCATCCTATGGCAAGGATCAATTGATTAGAGCGCAACGATAAACGCCGAATCGCGTCGAAGGAACTAAAGAATTCCTATGTCGGGATCTTTCTGCGTCAATCGTCGCGGTAGCGACACAAATGGCAGAAATGTTTGCGATGCTCCCGCGGAACTCGATTTCATTTCGCGAATTCCTCTCGGCCTTTCGGTCTTTGTCGCCCGGCGCCGAGGAACATTCCCTATCTTTCTTCTGCTGGTGAAATTTCCGAGCACAGCAAATCTACAGCGGGCGCCGCCGGAGCAGCGGGACGAGGAGCACAGCACAGTGTTCGTGCACGGGGGATAGGGGTCGGAGGGGGAACGGGGACAGCGGGCTGGGGTGAAAGACACCCGGGCTGGGGCTGGGCAGGGGACACGATCGGGCGAACAGACAAATGGGGGAGATGGGGCAGCCGACTGCGCAGCATCCAGGCGCACGGAGCGGGGCACAGCGTGGGGCATAGGACTTCACTTGTGCTCGACTGATGGCAGAGCGCATGCGCCTCTCTTGTTCACCAAATTGGACTTCGTGCGAGTTGTGTGTGAGTCATCCCGTTCTTCTCGGCAGCAAGCTCCGGCAACGATGTTGGACGGAACTCGCTTCGAGAACATCAGGGAGTTTCGCCGCACGACGATTTCACAACTCCCGCACGATGTCGCACATCGTAGAGAGTTTTCCGCACGGTCTCGATCGCGTCACCTCTCTGTGCAGAAAGCATGGGATTGCGTAGGACAACAAAATGTTACTTTTTCTCCGAAATGTGAAGCGACAGCGGATTCAAGCCTCGTTTCGATTGAAAATCATTTTGGGGCTCGTGTTGAAGTGAGCGATGATTTCCATCACCAAAGAGAGATTTTGAGCTTTTGAGAAGACTTCACATTCGTCTTGCGAAGTTAACTTTGTGCGGGCCCAGATTTCGGAGCTCCAACACTTCGCTCAAGAAATGTCGCTGACCCTTAGAATCTCGACCCAGCTCTGGACTGCTCCCAGAGCTCTGCTCCTCTTCCGTGCATCTTCTCCACAGGAAGAAATCAACGAAATTCCCCCTCCGAGCAGGATATGTTCGTCGCTCGAGGAGCTCCGCCAACTCAGAATCGAGTGCATCCTTGATTGGTGTAGGGCCACGGTCGAGTTATAAATCGATGGAATGAGTTACAGAGCCCCTTCGTCCCTCTAGCCCTTCTCGTCTAACCTGCTCCACCGCCTCAGCCCCAACGATCGCTGGGCAAGGCTAGAGGCGAATGCACACTTAACCCGAATGGCTCGCGGACAGTCAGCGCGCTTCATCAGGACGATTGCACCGTTCGCACTAACGAGCTGGCCATACTTTATGATGAGCAGACCCGAGCCCAGCGAATCGGCCATCTCATGCGAGCTACTTATGTCAGACCGCAGCGTGTGATAACGAATCTTGAATTAAATCGCCTGTAAAACATTGCGGACAAATGACCCTGAAATTGATAGATTTCCAGGGATTCATGCGAGCTTTTCCTGATTCGATCGATGCGGCTCCGACGATTTATTACTGATTCGCTGGGATGGCCGTCGTCGGTTCGGATTCTGGCCTCTGTCTGCATTCTTCGAAATAATATCAGATCAAGTTGAAGCAAAGCCTGCACCTTCCGACTCACGCGGCATGCCGGCTGTGACAAGCGGCTTCGGAACATTTCCATATTTGTGAGCCGGTCTAAACAGCGGACGTCGGCTCAGAGCGATGTCAAAAAGAACACGCGTTCTCGTAAAATACTATGTTCCGCCAGAACGGTTGTAGAAAGCCAGCGGGCTTCACATCTTGGCTCTCAACCCTCTCGCAAGAGATTTCCAAGCGACAGCCAACAGCATGTGGAAAAATAAGTTATTTCCGACATTTTCCACGCCTTCTAACGACCTATCACGAAGAATCCAGAATTGGAACTCGGACTTCGACCAGATCCGGAATCCGAATCGAGGTGAGGAATCCGGGAAATGTGCTCGGGCTGCAGACACAGAAGCCTCGAGGGGCAATCGCGCACCTCCGCAAATGAAAAGCCTCGCTCGTCGGAAGAACTCCGAGGCTCTTCATAACTGCGTCGCGAACAGCTGACTCAGAAGAATTAGCTCCGTATCGACGAGAGAGCCCCGACGGTGCTATCCCTTGACGGACGTATTGGCAATCTCGGCCGAGTTCGAGAGCTTCAGATGTATACACACTTATCACAGAAATCTCCGAGCAGTGGGGATGAGAAATCAAACGATTTATCTAGGAAAAGCATCTTCACGCTCCCTCCCACACATGTCTCTCGTACAACAGCTGGCTCGCTCGCTTGTTCTAACAAGAGCCGTGATCGCACTCTGTGAACTCTATCATAAACTCAATCAAAGATCGACCGCTTCGAGAGCTCGTTCGGAGAGCTGAGCGAGCTGCCTCCCGTGCGTACGGCGGCGCGGCGCCGCGCCGGCCACCGCTCGCCATAGGTCCTGCGACGACCGAGTCCAAAAGTCGTCGTGGTATTCCTCTCCGGGACAGTTTTCATGTTCAAGCCTTTCATCGTTTTCGCAAGAAGCGTGTTTCAGCGTTTCCGCCCCCTCTATTGAGTATTCCGCTCCGCAAACATGAGCGGTGTCACCGTCGAGAGCGTCTACGCGAACGCTGATGATTGTTTGGAATTTTCCTTACGGGCACTATTACTATTACTGACTGAGAATCCTGTCAGAGTCAACGTTGGGCCTCAGGTTGTCGCCCTGTCGCCCGAGCCCAAAAATAGCTCAATTGCCCAGTGCTGGTGCTCGCTTGCCTTCTGGCCTGCTGGCTGACTGGCTGGCTGACTCGCTCACTGACTGGCTGCCCTCTCGGCCGCCGAGCTGCCCGCGAGATCGCTGGCAGCGAGCACCGCTCCGGATGCCCTTTGAACGCGGAGAAGGAACCCGTCGTGGCAGCGAAGGACTTCTCACAATTAGCGAATCCCTCAAGTCGCTGGCCGGTGAGAGACTATCTATCGGGGAGGGAAAACCTGGAAGTGAGCCTGGACTGCCGGACGGACGGACGAAAGGTCCGACCGACCGAGAGACTGACTGACAGACCGTAGGACGGACGGACAAACCGACCAGCAAACCCATCGAATGAGCGACTGGTCGAAAGACAGGCTCGGCAGCACCAGGCCGAATTTCCATTGTCTGTGAATCGCACAGCGAAGCCTAGATGCTTCGCCGGCAAACGGACTGGAAAGCTCACGAAAGAAGAAGGAGAACCATGTTCGCAATGCAACTCGCCATGTCATCGTGGGAGGTTATGGATGGCTTGCCTTAAGCGTCACTCCGCGAACGTCCGATACATTTATTGTCCCGAGCCAGTCAGGAAGTATCTCGGTCAGCTTTTTCGGTCCCCTTACAATCGATCCTCGCAGTCCCGCCTATCTCCCGCTAGCCAGTCACCATCAATCGTATCTAGTACCAGACTCGCGTATCGGGCTAAGAGCGTGCCGTCGGAAGAAGGCACTGCATATACCGCTCGGGCGGGGAATCCGAGCGGGATATTCCCGGCTCGGCGTCTGAGCGCTCTACCCGGATATCGCGGCTCTGTATCTCGAGATTTCCGGATGCGTCCGCATAGAATGCGGTATGCGAGGAGATCTCGGACGAAGCCCGTGTGTTCCCGCTTCAGAAGCAAGGAAAGAAAAACAGCCGGCATGGCCCAAGTGTCAAATAGTTGCGCTGAAACAACGAACAGTGTTGTACTCAGTTTGTCGGGACATTGTCAAAGATGTTTGCCCGACTGCGTCGGCTGACATTCGGAGACCTAAATTACGAGTCATGACAACAACCAGCACGTCGTCGACAACGACAACCACGACGACCGCGTAGTCATCTGCCGTAGCACTTGGCCGATGCCAAGTAGAGCATTGCCCGCAAACAAGCTCGCGTAGGCGTTTAAGAACCACCTGTCTTCGACGTCCTCAAGCACCACGTAATCAGAGTCTATATCGTGCTTCTCGGTTGCGTGACGCTGCTCGAGCGTGACGTGAATTATATCCGGCCGGGTCAGGTCGTCCCTTCTTATGAAAATCGGTGGGACTGACAATAATCTATTAGTGAAGTTTGACGAGAAACTCCGTCCGCGAATCGCCTGCTCGGGACTTAAGCTCCGAGTTGGCCGCACAGGAGGACTACTGGGCAAGGGGAGAGTCTGGAATCCGATCGGTGCCTAAGGTCGTGTTTCCGATGACCGAAGCCGAGCCGGAGTCACGGATCAGAATTCCAGACGGACAGGAGATGTTTTCTCTCGAGGAGAGATAAAAATATTTCCAACCGACTCTCAGGCATCGAAAACCTGCAGTGCACAGATCATGACCGATGCGGAGAGGCTTCTGAGTGCGAGAAAAAAATGCGCTCGTCGAGAAAGTGCCACGCTCACAATTAAGATGTCATTCACTGCAACTAGGAAAGTCAGAGTGAGAGCGGTGACATTTCCGCTTTCGTCTCGCTCGCTCGTTCGCCAGCCGACCGAATAGCCAGCCATGCCTTCTAGGCTGGAAGCGGTTTAATGTCTAGCGTGCAATGTCAACCACGTGGCGCTCAGAGATGCTGCCAGCGGCCGCGGCTCTGAGTGTTTTTGAGTCCACATACCGATGGTCGAAGTCGCCATAGCAGCCGCTGTTCTCAGACCATCCGTTGTTTAGTTCGGCAGACAGGCTGCAGATTCGTTCTTTGATAATCAGCAATACAGTCGTAAGCCGGAAGGAACAGTGACAGAGGCGGTTTCCCTGGGCGAAGCACCTGCGGCGATCGAGAGAACGATCGGAACGCTCGGCCAATGTATCAACAGCCGAATGCCACCTCGCCATTTGTAACATCCGCGTGGTAGGAGGAGATTCTCGCTCACAAGGTCCGATCACGTCCTTGCGAACGATCGGCTTACCTGATATTGTTGTGCGTATGCGTCGCAGCGGTGTCAGGCGTCAGATCTCATTCTATCACAGCGACCGAGAGACATCGCAGAAATTTCGTGCGGACGACATCGGAGAAACTCAGCGAATAAATCCATGGGGGCGGAATTCACTGAGCTGAACATCGATGCCGATTCGATACCGTCGGTGAACGGTGGGCAATTCCGCCGCTAATCAATATTCGCAATGATCCTCGCTGCCGCGCTCTCGTTCCTGACTGTCTGACGAAATATGTCCTCGAAGTCGGACCAAACACGTCGTCTTGAATCATGAGTTCCGCACGATGCAATCAGAGCTCCGCCTGACACTGACACAACCAAGAAAACGAGAACAACTTTTTCTTTTTCGTATGTCGGAATCGACAGTCGCTGACAACCACCACCGCCCACGTCACGTATCGTACCGCGGGGCATGCGAGTAATCAACGAGAAAGCTTCTTCCGGCTACGCGGAAGATCCGAGAGTCGGACGTAGGGGGGCGAGGAGAATGTGAGCAACTCCGCGACCTCCAGCGAACTCGAGTCGACCGCGAATGTCTCCGAAGAGTTCGCCGGGCCAGAGGTTACTACATATTCAAAATTGCCTCGATTTCCTCCATCGAATGGGCCCGGCGTAATGGAGACCACCATTATGAGTTTCCAGCACGCGTTTTCCAAACAGCTTTTATAGGGTACAAACTCGCGTTTAGAGCATTCCCGTCCTTGAGCCTGTGACGTCAATTCGATGTGTTTAGGCCATCGCACCACGCTCGTTCGGAACCGAAAAACTGTTTGCTGAACTCCAATTATCGAGAAAGTGCGCGATCACCGTCAACAGCTGCACTACGGATGGAATCTCATAAATTTTCCTCCGCGTCAGAAAGAACGCATTCAGGTACGAATTTAGGGAGCTAGCTGGAACGGGACTTCTGCAAAAAACTAGAGACTCACCTTGTCCTTTTTGGTCTTAACCAACGTGTCACAGCGCCTCATTTTGCAAATTTGGTGGGATCGGACACTACGGCATGGTCCACACTCCCCACAGTTATCCTTCTTCAGACAACCCGGACATTCACCACACCTGATCACCAGTCAAATCGAGAATTACAAACGAATAATTCTTTCTTATCACCCCTTCAGAGAGAATGCTGACTGAGAGTGCGCCGTCAAATAATAATTCGTCGAGGAGGAATACTTACCGCTTCCGCTTCTTCTTCTGTTGCTGACGCTCATTAGATCCCGAGACTTCGGTTGCTCCGGGTGAGCTCGACGGCTGTACCATCTGTGTCGGTGTCGGCGGCGTTGGCGGTTGTCTTCCTATCGGCGGAATCTGGCCGGGTTCTATGACGGGAAGAACAGAGAGGTCTTAGGAACAAGACTCGCGAGTCTACCTCCACACCGAAGTCCCCCTTGTTCGCCGAAGTTCTTGTCGACGATTGAAAATACTACGCAATCGATCAAACTCACGATTTAAGTTGTGCACTGGAGAGTGTTGCTGCGGGTGCTGGAGAAGCAGATGCTGTCCGGGAAGCTGCCCCAGCTGTATCGGAACAGCTTGCGGCGAGGCGAGTTCCTGGCTCCAGTTCTGCCCCTGTATCGTCATCGAGACGGGCACCTGCAGTTGCGGCGGGAGAGCCTGCAGCGGCTGAAGCGGCTGCAGGGGCTCCAAGGCCGCCAAAGAGTGCATCTGAGATGGTGGTCTGCTGAGTGGCGTGGACGAAGTTACTGCCGCCACCTGGAAATCCGCCACAACAGGTCGGAGTTCCGTAGTGGTCGTATCCGCTTCGGCTGTCGCGCTGCGGAAATTCCCGTCGCTGCCGAAGGGGGATGGGGTTTGGGACGAGGCCTTGAAGGCACTGGGAGGACGCTGCTCTGCTGAGGCCTGTGTTGAGGATGTGCTGTCGTCTGACGGCGTAGAGCCCTGTAAAGTTCGACGCAACGCGAAAATTAAACATCGTCCAGGAGCGAGGAATTCTTCTTCGGGGATTAGGGGAGAAAAGTTCCAGCGTTCGGTACTCACGTTGTGGAATGCTTCGGTAGAGGATGTCGCGTTTACTGCCGTTTTCGTTGGGGGGCTCTTCTCCTCTGTATAAGACTCAGCGACCTGCTCCCAGGGGCGATACCCGGCATTGCCATTCGATGTCGGTGAACTGTCAGCGCGGTCGTCGCTCTGTGAGGTTCCAGAAGCCGCGGACGCTGGAGTTGGTGGCCCTTTTGAGTCGCCGGTCGAATCGACCTCTGCCCGATTCACGTTCACAGGAACCGCCTGTTGGGACTCGAGAGGTGGGAACGCGCTGAATGCGGCTTTTGATTCAAAATTGTAGCCGCCTGGGAACGGGGCACCGAATGAGGAGAAGTCTGCTGGAAAAGTCAACCACTCGTGGTTCATTGGCGGTAATGTGGTGGTAGCTCCAACGAAGCCCGCCTCAGAAGTCATGACAATCGTAGTTTCAACGGACGCGATGGCGTCGGCAAGCGGGATGACGACAGCCTGTTGGAATCGAAGTCCTAGGTTAGTTTCTCTCTCTGAATTAGGGTTAGTGTTGGTTTTCGACGACTCATCAAACCCCCTTCCCCCCGCCGTCCGAATCGGGAACCTGGCTCGATAGATTGGCACAATTAGCCTGACCCGGCGGCACCGGAAGAATTGCTCAACTGAAAGCTTTGCACCTCTGACCGACTTAAGGTATTCCTCGAGTCTATTGTATTCGTCATCGGACTATTCTCCACTGAATCAGAACGGTGCTGAAGGGAGTTTCCGCCGGAAACTTATGGCATACTTCTCAATCGTTCGATTTACAGCGACCCTCCCGACCAAGTCGGGCGACAACGATTTCTGTCGGCAAGAGAAACCAGACTTCTGCTCTTCAGTCTTTCTGTGTCAAACCGAGATCCGAGCATATTATCAGTCGACTCCTATCTGAAGTCGAGAGGACGGATTGTTGAGTTTCAGTCACTGCCGTCTCGTGCGTGTGCGGAAAGGCATTCAAAGCCCCTTCGCAGACCCTCTGGGTTTTCAGTCCTCACGGCGATGACAACCTGGATCACGCGAGACCGTTCGAGGTAAATGCCGTTTTCGTTGGAAATCCGCTTGATTTTTGGGTATTCGTCAACGTTTGTGATTATTATCAATAAAATTGTGTCTTGCTTCATTTTCGCACAGGGCTCGACGCGTACAAAAAAACATCCGGGCTCTCTCTAATGTGACTCTCGTAGAGGGTGCGACTAGCACTCCGCTTTGTCGAAGGCGAGAATTTCGAGCCCAACGATACAATCCACGAGTTCGTGGAGCTTTGAATGTTCGATTGATTGTTGTACCAGGGAGGCTTTGGAAACCGCCGTTTCGGGGAACTTCCGTCTCGCCCGAGAACAGAAGAAGGACATGGAATTCCGGGCTACCCGTCCCGAGAGTCTCGCCCGTCCGAAGAGATCACCGCATATTTGCGGGGACTATCAGCGTAGACGTTTTCGAATTGCGTCACGCCAATCTCCGTGCATGCTGCCAATGAAGCTGCGTGACTACGGCCGACAATGACCTATCTTGGGAGGCTATTGTCAATTTGCCCGAGCGATCTTCTCAGTTCGGTCGGTGGCATCGCTTCGTCCGTCATCCCCGTGCGTATCCCGGTTTCGTCATAATAATGTACCTATTTGTTCGAGCACCTTTAGCCTGGCTTTCCCAGCAGCATACAGAACTGACAGATCGAGGTCGTTCGTCGTCGTGCGTGAGTCGACAATTCGAGAGCGCTCTGCTTCTTGTTCTCCAGAGATCGGCTCGGTCCGTGCCGAGGACCGAAAGCCGTGACCGGGTATATTGTGAGATTGGGCTGCTCGTCGAAACGAAAGAACTACTGCGGTGAGAAGGGTGCCGCCGCGAAGCCTACAGTACGTCTTCCATGACCACAGTCGGGGTCTTGGTCGATCGACGGCACTCGACAATCGCTGTTTCCCTCCATACCCCCTCCGAAGTCGATTCTTCTTCTTTCCTCTCGCTCTCCGGAACCTCGTTGTGCATCGAGTCCGTCCGTCGGTCTGTCCAGGCTGCATGGCTGCATCTGCTCGCCGGCCTCGAGTTGCCAGATGTTCGCATCCATTGTAGTCCGTCCGCTGTGGCTCCGGAGCGCTCAACTTTGAATTTGCTTTGACTGACTATAGGAGCGAGCCTGGAGTTGTACACACCAGAAACGAGCGAAGCAACGATGGCTTGCAGGCAGCGCCGGTAATACCGACCATCCAGCTAAACTTCGCAAGGAGGCCTCATCAGCCGAGCAAACCGATGCCTTCAACGGACTTATTTTCGTTGTCCTCTCACTCAATTTCGAGCTCGGCTGCGTTGCGTGCCTGCTCGGTGGTTCGATACTCCAATCGTTACCTTCTGTCCGCCGCATATGCCGTCATAAACATAAAGCGCGCGGAGGATCAGCGATGGAAAAGACCAAACAGAATCAAATTCGATTTTTTCCGAATGCACCGCTTCGGAACCGTATCGCGTTTCGAAAGATTCCGCGCGCTCCGAGAGACCGTGCCTGCTCTTCTTTTTTTCCTCCTCTGAAGAACATCAGGGAATCGTCGAGCGAATTGTCCTGCCGACGCGGTCCGCTGCTGCGAGCATCCAGCCAGCGTCGGGAATATTTTCGACAGCGCACGTGCAGACGCGATGTCAAATATGTTCGTGCAAATTTCATATTGCGCGTGGAGCCCGATTCGCACGAAGACGACGACGACGACAACAGATGATGTCGGAGCCGACGAGAAATCATCAGCAGCGGCAGCAGAAACGCTCAGCTGGATGCGAATGCCGGGCCAATTAAAGCTCCACTGCTTCAATGAAGCGATTCTCAACGGTTCACTGCGTCCTGGTCCGAGTCCTGATCTACCAAATCCCGGTCCTGCCGATCGCGTCAGCACAACTTCAATAGCTATCCTCGTCAAGCTGCTAGAATCCATTTGCCGCAAATCGGCGTGATTGATTGAAGCTCTCTGATCGATGAATCAATCGAGCACGTGAATGAAAGTCTCGATTGTGATTGCGGATCGATTCTTCGATTTGACCCGACCACAGAGAGTGAACACTTTCGATATGTGGCCCTGCATCGGCACGCTCCCAACTCGATCGGAGGGAATCTCAAGCGTCGGCGTGGAACGGCGGGCGCTGCGCGAAATGTCAACGTGTCGGTGCTCAGTTTCGTGCTTTCAGTCGGAGGTGAAAATCGAACGGGGAACAACGGAGCGCGCTCGTCCAGCCGATCGCGCTCCAGGATTCTTCCAGATAGCTCCGGCTTCGCTGGAATCCGCTTCGTACGGACGGCGGCGGGGTCGTTTTACAAACGCTACCGATCGTTCTGTCGATCGGAGACACCCATGCTCGATTGAATCGAGCGGGAACGAACGCTCGAGTAGGACCGTCGTTGCCGAAACGAAGCGAGTGCTCGACGGCTCCTTTCCTCAAATCGGACGGCCACATGGATTCTTTCGTTGCGGTAGAGAGCGAGCTCGGATGGAGTCCTGTTACGATTCAAAGTCGGTGCTTAGAACGAGCGACCGAGCGAACAGACGCAAAAGATTTCTGCTGATTTCTCAGAAAACGAGCGAAGATTTTTCTCTCGTGTCGATCGTATGAATAACACCATACGTCCAACCGGGTACTCAAACAACAACAGCGACGAGCGTCGTCGTCCGATCGAGCGCCGAATCGAGCGACCAACGAACCAGTTCGGAGCACTCCGATAGAGACCGTGGCTCCAATCGACGCACGGACAAGTGGCATGGCTGCCTCCGAATTGTTGCGGCCGTCGCCGGCACAGCTGCACGATGTTGACTCTGAGACAAGAGCGGAGATCCCGATTTATGCGATAGCTGCGCTACAATCAAGACACCGCATGTTCACGGCAATCGGAGCTTTCCGTGCGATCCGATCTCCGAAGTTGGGCGCGTGTCGACTCACCCGATCGGCTCACCGGAATTTTCTACAGCATTTCTAATCCTCTCGCTCGATATCCGTCACTAATAATATCGCTTCGAATACTCAGGCGCCATCCCTCTGTTTCGGGCACGACATTCGTGGCACAGAGAGTAATTCGCAATGCGGTCCGACACATATGATCGGACCGGATTCAAACTCCGAGAAAGTGCTCCCAAAGTCATGGGTGTGACTTTTCGACGACAGACCCTTGACCGACGACTCAAAACAAAATCCTCAGCCCGCGGCGCTTCACTCCGCCGGCATCATGCCACCCATCGCTGGTCATGATAGACTGTCTGGCCTTGGGTGTCGGAGCACTTTCAGACTCTTCCCATAACAAGTGTAAGTGTCTTCCCTCCCCAGAAGTGTCGGGACTTCCCTACCGACACCTGTTTGACACAATAGTCCACCCACCCACCGCGCCTGCCATCCACCCTAAACCTGGAGACCACCGCCCGGAGGGAGTCGGGTTCTTGAAAACGGACGCCGCTCGAGCCGAGCACCGATTTCCGGATCGCGGTCGACGACCGAAACGTTCCCGCGTAACGTCCCAACCCCTTTCAGAAGGGCCAACGATAGCGGAACGTGTCGCAAGGGTCGACTTATCCACGATCCGAGCGCTGGAGCCGTTCCGAAATTCCGGAAGGGTCGCGTTCAAGAACCCAGCGCCACCCCGGGTGTCAGGAAGGAAGACGACGGGAGGGTTGTAAAGTTTTGACCTTGTCAAGGGCACTAGGGGGACCGCGAGATGGTTGCCCATCCCGCAAACAACCATTTCTCGGTTCGCCCCGCGAGGCGAGCGACCAGAGATTGTGTGGGGACTTACCCCTCACGTGCGCCTGCTTTCTCGGTACTTGGTGGGAGCAGCTCTCGATTCAACGATGGGGAACTTTGCTAAAAATCTCTCCGGGAACCACTCCTTGGAAAGGTGTCGTCGAAGCTTCGAGATCCTGGAAGAATTTATCCAATCGAGGTATGAGAACTCACATTTTCTAGCGATGGCGTTCCAAAATTGTTCACAAAACAAACTTCTCGGAAACCCACTCGTGAAAGCGCTCGCGAAGTGCGACAAAGAAGACCTGGGGCAGACTGGTCTAGGGTGCAGAGTTCCGCGGGGATATTCACGAGCTCTCGAGATCCCTCTCTCGAATCGGTGCACAGAAGTACCGTTATCCGACCCGAGTGAAGAGAGAGGCCGAAGACCCCGAAGCAGAAAACTCAGAAAACCCCCGCTCTGCCCTCTCAGCGCAAATGCGCTGTGGGAGACCACGAGATAGCTGGTGTGCTCGAAGGGAGGGGTCTCGCCGTTGTAGAACGCATCATCATCATCCCGACTTCTGACTCTCTACACCTGTTGTAGGCATGGTCGCGCTCGCCGCTCCTGTCTCGCTACTACAAGTCGGGGGACGGGGCGAGAGATGTGACGACTGTCGCGTGGATGGACCTAACCCAACCCAGCTAGCTCGCGGGCGGGTGAACGAGCGAGCTCCGGTCGCTCGAGAGAATCCCCCTCGTATCCGAGCAAAGTCGCGCTTCTCGTAATCCTAGCACCCCAAGTTGGCCCCCGGTGAGAATCAACGACAGGTTGTTGGTGACCTCGGAGCCCCAACCGGCTCGGTCGGTCGCTCACCCGCTCGCACGAGACTCGCTCACGAGTACCCACCGGAACTACCACTACTTCATTGATGGGAATTCCTCCCCGGTCCGAACTACGGGGTTCCTCACCTCGGGCGTCTTTTTCTGGCAGATCATAAACCAGAGCGAAAATGATTTGACGCAACACGCGACCGGAAGGGCGGAAAACAACAACAGAGCTTGTGCCTCGCGCGCGTGCATGTGCACCGCACGTCAGAGGGTGGCGTCACGAGAGCACGTAGACGTCGAGACCGTCCTCGTGATCAAGAGTCTCGATTCAAGACATCGGGGATCCCGACTGAAAACCATTGGGACATATGCTCGACTCCGTCACTCGCCTTCATGAGTTCGCTTTATGATATTTTTTCGTTCAGAATGGGAACTATCTCGGCTGCACGATCGACACAGTGCGCTCAGCACCCGATGAGCAGGGTGCGCTCGAGGTAAACATGTTGGTCACACCAACATTTAAGAGCAGACCAGAGATTAGAAGGAAGGCCTGCTTAGTCTCTGAGAAAGGGATGCCAACCACTCGGAACAGTGTTTCAGCCTTTGA